ACCATGTGAAACAAAAGTGAATGAATATTAAACAACATATAAACTTAAAAAAAAAAGCCCCGGTTAAGCCGCAAACCGGTTAATCCGCCCCCGGATAATCGAGAGTTGACTGTAGTTTTTTCTACACAGTCTGTGCTGAGATGTTATAAGCAGGGCCAGTTATCTGTACAGTATTTCCCTAAGATCAGCCTTAATATTAACCTTCCACCTATGTCTAGGTCTTCCTAGTGGTCTCTTTCCTTCTGGCTTTCCCACCAAAATCCTACATGCACTCTGCTTTGTCCCCTGGGTTCTTTAAGCCCTGCCCTGCACATCCCGCCCCCTTGACTTGATCATTCTAATTATACTTGGAGAAGAGTACAAGTTATGAAGCTCCTCATTATGCAGGTTTCTCCAACCTCCTGTCACTTCAACTCTCTTCGGTCCAAATATTCTCCTCAGTACACTGTTCTCAAACACCCTCAGTCTATGTTCATCCCTTAATGTCAGAGACTAAGTTTCACACCCATACAAAACCACCTAACATTATTTGGGTGATTAAATCAAAGGAAATAACATGTAGCACATATGGCAAAAATTAAAAATGCATACATAATTACAAACTCCGTGGCTTTTAGTCTGCAAGTGAACTATACCGACCGAGCGACTGCTGCTTGTCAGCGAAGTTAGTGCCAACCTCTGAAGACAGAGGGTGTCGCGTGGTCAGCACAACGGATTCTCACAGCCGTTAATCCTTAGTTTTCTAGGCCAGAAACGCTACTTTTCCTTTCAAGTAACTCCTCAATTATCTTCACGAGGCTGAGCGGACCCCATTCCAGACCCACTACTTCTCAGAAAATCTGGTAGCATGGGGAATCGAAACCGGGACCTCTGGATCTGTAGCGAGGAGCTCTGACCATTAGACCATAGAGAAAAATCTCAAGTGAAAAGACTGCATCGCAGGACTTGGTACAAAGCGAAGGATAACATTTAAACACATCGCTATGTATATAAGTCCATTTATCACAACACAACTATAAATAAACATCTGAAGACAGGAGTATTATCGACGAAACCACATCACCAGAATACCAGGAACAACAACATCTGTCCAAAAAGAATTCGCATGTATAACATTCCCATAGAGAACAAAACAATCGAGTGTAAAACACATAGCAGTAAACAGCAACTTCAGTCCAAGAAACCCACAGAAGAGCACTTCAACACAGACAACAAAATACGTAACAGAGGATAAACACATGTCACCAAATCAACTATCAGTATGAAGCCAGTAGTATGGAATATATCTGGAATTTGCAGTTAACTCCCCCCCCCACCACAATATGTACATATACCATATAAATAACACCCTCGCTTAACAAAGTACATACCCCATACATTGTGACAATTCAACACACACCACCCATCCTATGCCCCTCCACTAAAAACCCTACACAAAGTAAACTAAAGGTTAAGTTTTAACCTCCAGCTTTAGTTCATAATATAATAATAGCAAACATAGACTTACCTACACTAATTATTCAATTCGATATAATACATTACATCATATCTTGAGGAATGGGTTGTATAAGATGGCACTAGTAACAATGGATCCACCGTAATCAGAATTCCATTAATGTATTGTGACATGTCTAACCGTTGCTGGGCAACGGGAGGTGGAACGAGTTACCACAAAGACAGACCCTTGATAAATGGTTGGTTGCCAAGTTATGCAACAGTGGAAACGAGGTTACACAACAGTAAGGAAAGCGGTGTTTCTCTGAGCTGAGCCGAAGCACGCTGGTTGCTACGCAGCAATAAACAACTCTCGGCAGCGTTGCCTAGCAATGCCTTTGTAAACACGGCGTCACACAACAGGGGAGCCCGTACAACGACTGTTGCTAGGCAATCGGTAAACACGACATTGCGCAACAGTGGTACCTATCACATAACTGTTTTCTGTGTTGTCCATTCCAAGCCTAAATAAGGAGCAGCAAACACTATTCAGTAGGGAGTTACTAGTGAGTAACGATTAACCAGTCAGTTGAATTGTAGCAGTCGCCGAGTCAGGTTGTATCGAGTGCATGACAGTGACAGCAGGAGAGTTAATTGTGATACTGCAGATGGCAGTACTTGTGATATTGTGAACTGTGTAATTGTAAGAGCGAGTGTTCAATAAATTCGCTACATTCAAGACGCCGTGAAGTTATTTGTTGTGTGACAGTATGTTGACATAATTTTTAATATTTTATATGCCTGGTCATATACATGGTCGAAACATGTAGTGAGTATGCTTAGTCAATAAATACTGATTTCATCGATAATACTCATGTCTTCAATTGTTTACTTATAGTTCTGTTGTGACAGACTATCTACATAGCAGTGAGATACACAACATGATGCAACACACACATATAAAGATTTAAATACATCTTAACAAAAATAGGGTGGACATAACTGGTTAGTCGTGAACATGGTAATGAGCAATGAGGTTCCAAAAAAGCAAGAAATTTCTCGATCATCTGAGTAACCATCAGCTTATCAAGAAAGATTCTGTAAACACTTGTCAAGATAACTGGTGTCCTGGCAGAGATTCGATCCAGACACCTCCTGAACACGAGTCAGACTTCATACAAAGCTTGTGTGAAGTCAGAAAAACCAAAAACTGTAAGGCAGTACAGATTAACTTCTGTACTGTTTATAATATTGAGTCTGAGTCTCATTTTACGACTGACAGTCAGTCAGCCAGTCTGTCTTGGCATAAAGCATCCATCTGGGGCTTGTGACCAGAAATTTATTAGATTGACAGTTACAGTCTTGTTTCTGTGGAGTGCCCTCTCTAACGAGAGGACATGGGGCATAAAGCTGATATTCACCTCTGTCTACTGCAGAAATCAAGAAATGTGAAGCTACACCTCCAGTCCCCCATACTTCTTCATGGCAGTGCTTAACTAATTAAGCACAGGGACAACTTTTGTATTTGCTGCTGGTCCTTGCCAGCACAGACTTTCTCGGGTCTGAGTCCCTTGGTACTCGAGACCATATATTACTGTCTCTAATTTGAATATTAAAGATGATAAGATACAGTATATACTAAATCCAAGGACACAATCATTTTCCTTCCTTCCTTTTTTTTTTTTTTTGTGAGTACACACAGCCTTCTAGCCAATGGGTACTGGGGGCCCTGCCCTGGAGGTAAAGCGGCTGGGGCACGAAGCTGATCACTCACCTCTGTCTACCGCCGATGTCATGAAAGGTGATGCTACACCTCTGCTCCCCCATACTTCTTCATGGCAGAGTGCTTAACTAATTAAGCACAGGGACAACTTTACCTTATATACTGCCGATATTCAGTTTGTGACCTTGGATGGTAATTCAGTGCAGTTCAGACAGCCAAACGTTTCAGAGCATCACATCCACCTTCAGGATCAAGGAGTAAGACAAGCCTGCTGCCTGCTTCTGCTGGTTTTATCACTGGCTTGCTCTTTGTCCCTGAAGATGCAGGTGATGTTCCTCTGAAATGCTGGGCTCTCTCTGAACTACACAGAGGGCCATACTCTTGAAAGTCATTGCTGTGAGAGCCTTAAATCCAACATAACGAGAAGAGAGCTGTGCTACTAGTCTAATGTCATATGCACAGAAGCTACGGACAGTACAGATCCTGTAAGATTTGAGGCTTTCACGGCGGTGACTATGAAGAAAGCAGTCTTCTGGGATTTGTCACCGTGCATATGTGGTGTTAACTGACGTTTCGGAGGAACGTATCGCCTCCATCTTCAGGGTAGAAGAAAAAATATAAGAATTCTGCAAGCGAAGAGACCATGAGAACTGGTAAAAGCAGACTGCTTTCTTCACTACAGATCCTATTCGCACATCATCACGTCAGTTCTTAATGCTTCTATCTCTAATTTATATTACTTTCCAGGTTATAAATGCATTTAGTTCCTAATGGCACTGGGGCTCTATACCCACCATTAAACAAACAAATCACACAACAGAAAATAGAAGGAAAGGTTCCATTTTTTCCATGTCCTATGTCCAACTATTCATGTTTCCAAGACTGCAGCCTTATTTTCTCTGCTTCACAAAACATGGAGATGGAACCATTTAGAACTATGATGACAATATATTGTGGCATACAGACCCGCTGCTAAGCAAAGACCCCAAAAAAATGAGTATAGCCATTGCTATGCAATAGGTGAATAAACAAACAGCCATTTTGGAGCAACAGCTCAGTAAACATGTTCCTGGGGAAACAAACATGCACGTGGCAACAGAAGAATGGTGTTTTCATTGCAGTGCATGCAAAATGGTTGTAAAGAAGAGAACTGGGGAAATTCTCTTCTTTATAACTACCCTGCACGGACAACACTGAAAACACTGTTCCTCTATTGCTTGCTACTGTAGCTGAGTTAACAGTTGACAAGAGTTCTGCATGTGCAGGTGTGACAAGAGGACCTCAGCAGGGGAAGCTGAAAAATCTCCACCGTTAGGGGCTGTTGCCAGGAAACGGCTGGTTCAGAAAAAAGCAGGCTGGAAAAGGCTTGCTGTGGCTCATGTACAGTTTAAGTGCCATTATCGTTAACACATTTTAAAAAGTTAATAATAATGGCTGTTTCACATACATCTCTTCCATATGTAATATAAAAATGGTGTGTGTATTCCAATTCCAGCAGTTGGAACAACCCATAACACAATTTACGTATGTGAAGTATCAGTGTGACTTAAACTGTTTCACGCGTAATGTCTGTTACTCCAGTTCATTACAAGTCCATTTCTTTACTTTAATGTATGCACATTCAACAAGCTCTGACACTAATAATTTTCCTGATGGAGTCAAACTGTCAAGCCTGAAAATGAACACACCACATTCCTCCAAATGTCAGCATTCGCCAGCAAGACTACACAGTACCAATACCCAGATGATCACAATCTTAAGACTGCAAAATATTAACATGCTTCGGTACTCACCGCAATAGCCTTTGCTTCCCACACCTGGTCCACTTTTTTCCAGCAATGCGGTGTATCCAGGGTATCCAGAGCACCAATCAGTGCATTTCTCTCCAGCTGCAGCTTTTCAAAGAGGCCATTGAAACCCATGAGGAGCATCTGACCTGGTGTCAAGACATCATCACTGCTGCCAACAGCAGAACTGCTATTCACATTTGTAGCCTGGTCATCTAACCCATCTGTGACCAGCTCTGCAGGTCGCGACAGCAGCAGTTCGAACCTTTTTCGAATCTCAGCTACCATATTCTGAGCACTGTGATGAGGGGACTGTTGGCAGACCAAAAGAAAAAACAAAGAACTGTCATGTAGGATTTATGGGTCTATCAGCAGTGGTTATGAAGAGTTCTACCTTCTGGGATATAATGCTGTGCAATTAGTTAAAAGGCATCTTATGTTCCACTGAACTGTAGTTAAATTTCAACAGACTACACAGCCTTAAATCCCTGGAGACATGACTCTTCAAGAATATGTCAGACAACATGACATTCTAGCAGGAACTAGTGTTTCTCAAATCTGACACAATACAGCAGTTTCACCAATCCCCATGTTCACAATTATTAAAATAATTGTCAAACTTACGGAATCTACATGTACAATGATGATGTCTCTCTGTATTCATCAGTTGCAGCCATCAAACTAAGGGCCAAATACAGATTTTTGCACACGCAGTTGTTAACTGTTATAAACAAAATTTCAGGATTCTATGATGGGGCAATAAACATGGTTCCACTGTCACTATCTACATCATAAACTCATACAGCCACCATGTCTGTTACAGAAGGTACAAAATTAAGATTACAAAGGTTATCATCAGGAACAGATACAGCCATACAATCATCACAACAACAAAAATATAGCTAATCTTATTAAGCAAAGCTGGGTGAAAAAAAAAACCCGACAAAACTAATTGTCCAACACAATTTCTCACAGAGAACTTACATCCATTGCCATGATTATGTAGCGTAGATGCATCTCCAACTGGGCCAGTATATCTTCCAGAGGACAGCCTACTCCAGCAATGATATCATTCAGTTCAGTTACCATGGCCAGCACTGTTGGCTCTTCTGTTTGGATAGTTTTCAATGCTTCAGGAAGAATAATAGTGTGAAAGTTGAAGTTCAATTCCTGAAAGCAAAATACAATACTTCATAACACCCCAGAAAGAACTTACGGCACTAGCTTCCTTTCAAAAACTTCAAGCTACATGACCTTAACAACTAAAAATATATAATATAAAATGTATACAATTATACAGTCTACCTGAATAACTTATCCTGATGTGCATTTGACTAATCATGACAAATACCTGCAGGCCCTTATAGATGTTATGTGCAGACTTGAGACACTGCAGCACCAGCTCGACTCTGGTATCGGCTCCAGCTGTGGAGTCAAGTTGGTGATGCGATGGCAGAAGACTAGATAACTCCGTCACCAAGGTGCTCACCAAGTACATTTCATCCAGGAACCAGTCTCCCTCCCGAGACGTTAAGTCCACCAGGCAGTCTCCAGCACCTGAACAACATTTACCCCAACATGTGCCATAACTAGACAAATTAGTAAACCTTTCAAGCTAAACATTCTATAATAAAGTGAAGGTGAACATAAATGTAACACTGTCCCTGTGCTTAATTAATTAAGCACCATGCCATGAAGACGTGAAGGAGTGGAGGTCAGGACTAGAGACAAGTGGTTAGCTTCATGTCCCAGCTGCTCTACCATAGAGTGTGCGTGTGCACACTAAGGTTCACTATGCAGGAAGGAACATGGAGTGGATACCGCAACATGAAAATAGTGTGGGTGAATTGTGGGCATACATTCTCGAATAATGATGACGTGCAATAATGGCATGTAAGCATATTGACATATGAGCTCATGCAGTGCGGTAATTTCAATCAATTAACAGTTGGTGGCCTTATAGGGCCAAAACAAACTGCAACAATTAAAAAAAAAAGTATGATTTTAATAATATTTTATGAATTGTAAATGTGAGTGTAAATGACATTTTAAAATAAAAGGTTGTGCTACATTACGGACGGAAGTAAGTGGACGAGTGATATAGTACTGCAACAGGATGCTGAAATATTGAGGGCAGTGGCTGGATGCAGACTTATTCAGAGCTGGAATTAAAACTACTGCCACTTACTCAGTGCAGCAGCTTCCATCATGAGATAACGCTTGTTTAGAGCGCACAGTGCTGTTATGTTGACACACTCCAGAGCCATCGCTGCACCTTTCTCCCCCATGAGGAAGGCACTGATCCTGGCACGAGCCTCGTTGTATGCTGCGTCTAACCGGACACCCGCTTCAGGCAGTCCTTCGGCTGCCAGACACTCATAGCTCTTCTTCAGCCTGGCATTAGCCTCAGCCAGAGAGGCCTGCAGTTGGTATGATAACGCAACAACCTGCTGACTGGACAGCTTGTTGTTTACTGTCTCTGGAGAGAACAGACTATGGAACTGGGCCACAACTTCATGGCAGCTGCACACAGAACAATTTTACTTATACCAGTCTTGGCACAAATTTTAGACAAAGCATGAAAAATTACATCAGTCAACATCAGAGTTCAGCTGCTTTATCAATAAAACACTAACTTCAATCACCATGTTATATGCCATTAAAGTCTGTCATCAGGTAAATAATACACTTTATCAATAAGTCACAAAGCCATAATTTTGTTAATAGGCCACACAGCTACATCACCTTGTTCATAATCCAGTAAGTTCCACTACCTTAACAGTTCACATGGACCAGTGGCATTACCAACAATCCAAAAAAGCTCAGCTGCCCTTGATAATCATCCACACTCTTCAATTACTCTGACAATAAATTGCAAAGCTCAATCACCTTGCAATAAGGAATGAAGCTTGGTCACTTGATACAAAACCTTATCAATGTCAACATGTTAGAAGACCACAAGCCCTATATCACTCTGCTAGCAATGTTTTAAGTTTCTTGAGGTAGGGTGAGACTAAGGCCGCACCACAGCTCAAGCGGTTAGTCGCTGGCTTCCCATCGTGGCGGCCTGGGCTTGATCTCGGGTCTGGTCAAGTGGGATTTGTGGTGGACAAAGTGGCGCTGGGGCAGGTTTTCTCTGAGTACTTCGGTTTCCCTGCCAACCTTCATTCCACCAATTGCTCCACAATCACCCTCACCTATCATCTTGGGCTGGTACAATAGGCCAGAAGTGGCTGCAGTACAAGGGACTTAGTCCCACCCCACTAGCAATAAAAAAATAGGGTGAGATTGAGTCCACTTGGTACGTCAGCCAGTAACTGGCCTATTGTACCAGCCCCGGGTGATAGGTGATGAATGTGGAGCAGTCAGTGGAATGAGAATTGGCAGGGAAAACCAAAGTACTCAGAGAAAACCTGTCCCAGTGTCACTTTGTACACCAAAAACGCCACATGACCTGAAATGGCTGAAACCTGGGCCGCCATGGTGGGAAGTGGGCAATTCACCACCTGAGCTATGGCATGGCCTCACCTTGTTAGTAACCCAGAACACTATGCCACCTTGTTAATAATCACAAAAACTCAGTCACTTTAACCTTTAATGGCTGAATGTTATATATATATGCGGCAGGACACGTGCTCTTTTTGGGAGTGCTGACACGTTTGATCTTGCATTTGGAACCAAACAAATGCTCGTAAAGTCATGGTTTATTCCTTAGCTCTAAATAATGAAATCGTTTATCATGGTACTGGTTTCGATACTATTTACATTTAGATATGACTGTTTATGACCTGGTCAGCCAAATATAGCCCGGCTTTGTTTTGAGAACTGATGAAATATTCATCAGCGCTTGCATATGAGTGCTTCCAGAGCCTTTAATGAAGTCTGACGCATTCAAGGATTGGTTTTCAGTGGCGAATTTTCAGTCAGGAAGTCAGTGTCGGATTGTCTAATATTTCTTTATATATCATTTTTATTTTGTGTCTGGGAAGATATAAACCTACTGAACCAGTATTACTTTGTGAGTAAAAGGCATCTTTGCCACTGTGACTTTCAGTATCAGTGTCGGACTGGCACCCTTTTCGACTAGTATTATAATTACTTTGCATCACTATTTTGCGAGTATTACTAATAGGCGAGTGTGTTGCTTCGTCAATAAACATAATTTATTTGATTTTGCTAGAACCCCCTTCCCCCAAGATGATTCTTCAATTGCACAAGGTGAATATCACGGTCAGTGGCGTTTCTCGGGGGGGGAGGCCAAGGTTATCTGGGCCCAACTGAGTCGACTGGAGGTGAAACATTCACAACACTGGCCAACCGAAGAGAAACAAAGACATCGTGTGTTTTGCTAAATAAGAAAAGCAGGAGCACACTCTTCTATTGTAAAAAGTGTGATTTTGCTCTGTGTGAAGTGGACTGCTTCGAGAAGTGCCACGTGCGTCAGAGTATCGCAGTGAAGTGACGCAGTTCAAACTCACGTAGAGTAATATTATTGTATATAGTATGATTATATTTACAATATCACCAAGTCTCAAAGCTGAATATCATGGTCAGTGGCGTTCCTCGGGGGAGGCCAAGGTTACCTGGGGCCCAACTGAGTCGACTGAAGGTGAAACATTCACACCACTGGCCAACCAAAGGGAAACAAAGATGCTGTCATGTGTTTTGCTAAATAAGAAAAACAGGAGTACGCTCTTCTATTGTAAAAAGTGCAATGCCGCTTTGTGTGAGGTGGACTGCGTGTCAGAGTGTATAGTAAACTATGAAGTGACGCGGTGCAAACTCGTGTACAGTCTGAACAAAATATTATTGTATATAGTGCGATTATATTTACAATATCACCATGATTCAAGGTTGAAGAAAAAACAACGGGAATTACATAACATATATAATAAAGATTATATTTTGCACTTCATGACAAAATAATCACAGTTAATTTTCGTTTGTAAAAATTGCTCTTTTGTGTATATGTCGAAAATTTTATTGTCTTTCAGTCTGTTTTTAGTTCGTATTTCTATGTTGCATAGAACGGAAAATATGTATTTTTTTCTGAAGGTTTGCAATGTTAATTAATCAGGGCGATTTAAATACTGGCCACAGTGGGCTGCAAGCAATTTAAAAGTCTGTACATTAAAGGTTAACGATAACCCACAAAGCTCTGCCACTTTCTTCATATAATGCACAATGTCCACGGAATATGATTTTCAGTCACCTTGTCCACATGATGCAATGCGTGCCTACTCACCTCTCTACTGACATGTTGTTGAGCAGCTGCTGTGCCCAACGTCGATAGCACACTGAGCGGTGTGAATTAAGATATGAGACTGGATATAGGCTTGCCACAGTTCCATACTGACTTAACAGATCCAAACAGCTGTGTACCAACATAATCTGCTGCTGTGCAAGTTGTCCTAATTCTGTTTCAGACTGTTCACACTGCAATGAGGAGTACATCATTCTAAGTGTAATTTCAAGGCTTGTATGTACATAAAAGCATAAACATGTCTACATTAACTGGATTTCATCAGTGACTACGAGAAGTACTATCTTCTGCAATAAGATTCCATACTGTCCAGCAGAAATTCGCTGATATTTCAGAGGAATGTACTGGCTCCATCTTCAGGACTAAAAATTAAATCAAGCAAGAACCAGCAAAGCGGCAGCCAAGCACGGACTGCAAAAGATGGTACTCTACACAGCTACATCACAATTCAGTACAGTTTCAAATATAAGATGTGAAGGACATTTCAACACTTAGAAAAATGGCCCTAGATCCAAAACTCACCTGAATGATCATTTGTCCTTGACCAGCATTCTGAAGGAATTCCTGTACCAAATCGAACACCATGTGACTATCTTTGTCAATTGGGAAGTTCAGTTCTGCCACCCACTGTGCTAGCTGTGGTCCCCTCACTGATGCCAAAGCCACCTAATAAAATTAGTATTGCTTATAATTCTCCTTCATTAAGTTTACACCTGTAGTAAGAATGGGAGTTCTTAATTTGAACAAGCAGTTTCCATTATTGTAGTTGTGTATATGCAACCCAGTGTCAAGAGTTTACATGTGGACTGTATTAACTTGATACTTTCCCCTTAAACTACTTTGTAAACTTCTGCCACATTTCAAGAAGAGACCAACCTATGTTAGTTCATATTTTGGCAATCGTGCAAGAGACAATAATCATTAACACCACCTGCTTTCGTCTGTATGTTGCTAGCATTATACTCTCCATAACACTTCTGGGATCTCTTTTGTGTGAAAACGCCTTAGAAGGCCTTCTTAAATTGGCTGTCAGGTTTCATTACATTGACAATGATCATAATATAAGTATATAGTGTATAGGTATATAAGTATGTCCTCATATAACTAATAAAAGTGAAACAATCCTGGAAAGTAATTTACCATCACAGCAGTAATACTGTATTTAAGTATCCCATTGCATTAATTTCCATCTCAAATGCAACTTCTTATCTTGTCCTACTTCTCTGCAACTACATGTTTCAGCCGCTGTCTATCTTGCCCAAATTGTAGCACTGTGTGTTAAAATTACATGTTGTAAGATTTGAGGCTTTCACGGCGGTGACTATGAAGAAAGCAGTCTTCTGGGATTTGGCGCCGTGTATATGTGGTGTTAACCGACGTTTCGGAGGAACGTATCGCCCCCATCTTCAAGGTTGAAGAAAAAGTATAGGTAAATCTGCAAGCGACAACACCGTGAGACACGGTAAAGCAGTCTACTTTACCGTGTCTCACGGTGTTGTCGCTTGCAGATTTACCTATACTTTTTCTTCAACCTTGAAGATGGGGGCGATACGTTCCTCCGAAACGTCGGTTAACACCACATATACACGGCGCCAAATCCCAGAAGACTGCTTTCTTCAAAATTACATGTTGCTTGTGAACGTGATGCTGTTTTTAATTATAATATAAAGTCTGAATTAAAATTGGAATTCAAAATTAAAATTAAACCATCTTAATGTTGGGTCTTGCTACACTGCATTCCCTCACTGTGGCACATGTATTATCCATAATGTGTAAATGAAATGTTGTGCTATATATTTTTTGTTATTAGTTTCGTTAAGTTTAGATAGCTCTTTGTATTTGTACATATATATATATGTGTGTTATTTATGCAGCTCATACAGATGTTGATGTAGTGTTACTGCATGCATGCTATCACTAATGTGTAAGGAATATTTGTTCTTATACTTCAGTTTACTTCTTATAGTTACATATATATGTTAGAGTGACTTGTAGATTTTACCATGCTCTTGAACTGGTTATGTTGTTGCTTAGTTTATGTGTAGAGATTATGAGCATTCTGTGTGACCAATTTCACTTTTATAAACAGGACTGAGGGTGTGTGTTGCTATCTGGTGTGAAGTTCATATAGGGTCTCAAATATGGGGTTGTCTGTCAATGTCTCATTCATTTGTAAGTTATCTTTACCGATTCTATAGATGTGGTATTTTTCTAAGGTATTTAAGTGTTTGCCATTCTTTCCTGTTTTATTAAAATCCATACTAACCATTATGGTTCCACGTGTGCGCCCTGAGTTTAGTACGTGACTTGAATATCCAGAATTGCTGTTGTTTCTAATGGGATGAACATGTTCTTTATATTTAATATTAAGTGTTCTTCCTGTCTGTCCAATATATTTTAGTAGACAGCCTACTCATTTCACATGGTAAATGTTGCTTCTGTTATATTCATCTGTTTGTGCAGGGTGCTTTGATATGTTTTGTATAGTGTTCTGTGTGCAGAAGGCTATTTTTATTTGTGTCCCAAAGAGTTTAGTAATTTTTCTTACTTCTTTGCCACTGTATGAAAAGGTGGCTCATTTTGTTTTGTGGCACTAAGAATCAGTGGGCATATTTTGCTTTTGTGGGGGAGGGCATTTCCCAATTATGTTTTTGTTATACTTGTTGTGGTGTAGTATGTTTTTGATGGTGTTTAATTTTTTTCTTTTGCTTTTTCAGTTATTGGATACATGTGTAATCAATTCAATGGGTAGTTAATATCTGACAGTTTGTGTTCATATGGATGACAATAGCTATTACTTACTTACTTACTTACTTACTCATAGAGCTGAGCCCGTCTCGAGGAGCCGCCAATTCTGCAGCCACTCAAGAATTTTCTAGCATTTTATATAACCCAAAGATTCATTACTGTGTTCACAAGAGCCCACCACTGGTCCCTATCCTGAGCCCGGTCAATCCAATCCATACCATCCCATCCTATCTCTCTAAGATCCATTTCAATATTGTTCACCCACCTATGCCTTGGTCTTCCCAGTGGTCTCTTTCTTTTGGGCTTTCCCGCCAATATTGTATATGCATTCCTCTTCTCCCCCATTCATGCTACATGCCCTGCCCACCTCATCCCCCGCAACTTGATCATTCTAATTATACTTGGAGAAGAGTACAAGCTATGAAGCTATGAAGCTCCTCATCTCTCTTCGGTCCACATATTCTCTTCAACACCCTCAGTTTATGTTCCTCCCTTAATGCCAGAGACCAAGTTTCACACCCATACAGAACCACAGGCAAAATTATAGTTTTGTATATTCTAATTTTTATGTTTTTGGACAACAGATGAAAAGAAAGGTTCTGGACTGAATGGTAGCAAGCATTAGCCGAGTTCAATCGCCTCTTAATTTCCTCCTGAGTCAGGTTTCGATCTGTTATTGTTGTTCCCAAATATCTTAACTGTGCCACATTTCAAAACATCTGTTTCCTATCTTTATGCCATGATTTTGCCCTGCATTTTGGTGACGAGACAGTAACATATACTTAGTTCTTACTTCTAGACCAACCCCTTTACTTGTGTCAATTAAAGTTTGTGTGTTTTTCTTTATGGTATCTACATTATCACCCAGTAGATTCACATCATTGTCACAGACCAACAGCTGATGTGTCCCGTTTAATTTCAGTCTCATCTGGTTTCCCTGGACCTTCCTAATTGCATATTCTAAGGCAAAGTTATAAAGGAGTGGCGCTAAAGCATCTCCTTGTTTTAGACCATTCTGGATAGGATATTTATGAGACAAATGTTTACCTACTCAGACTTTACTATACATTTCGTTTAAACACATTTTAATCAACCTAACTAGTTTCATGCATATCCCAAACTCTATCAGAATATTGTATAATACTTCCCTCCTAACTGAATCACAGGCTTTCTTGAAGTCTATGAATAGCTGTTGTACTGTCTCATCGTACTCCCATTTTTTCTCCAATTTCTGACGAATGCAAAAGATCTGATCTGTAGTTGATCTGTTACGTCGAAACCCACACTGATGATCCCCAATAATTTCATCTATATATGGACTTAACCTTGAAAGAATATTGGACAAAATTTTATATGAAGTTGATAGCAGTGTTAGGTATAATAATATCAGTTATACCTAATAGCTATTGTCATCCACATGAACACAAACTATCAGGTATCAACTACCCACTAAACTGATTAAACACATATGCAATAACTGAAAAAGCATAATAAACAAAATTAAACACCATCAAAAACATACTACTCAACAACCAGTATAATACAGCCCTAACTGAGAAACTCCCTGGCCGAGATCTCAAGCAGACATGTCGTGAGTACAAGTCAGAAGTGTCACCATTTAACTTGCCTTGCTTGGTAGTTCTTGTGTCACGTATTATCTGTAATCAAGGATTCAACAGGTAACTTCAAACCATGTACCTGTGATATTTTTCCAACCACATCTTATAAAAGAGTGATTTATTTTTTGTGAAATAACAGAATAAAACTGAGGATGGCAGTCTGTCAGAATGATGATAGGGAAAAATTAAAGTGTGCTCAACTTTGAAATTTCAACATAAACAGAAGTATGGAGTTATCAACCTAAAAATATTATCTGACGTCCTAATAACCTTATGGAGGTTTAGATGTTTTTCACAGTCTTCAATCTTTTCCGTGAGTGCTGCACGAGCTTTCTCTCTTGCATCATGTGCACGACGATGCTTGGCATATCGTGTAGCCAGTGTGTAAAGCGGGTGCTGTCCAGAAGGACCGTGAGCTTCTGCTTCCTTCACCAATGCCATCTGCTGGTGACAGTCTTGAAGCGATTCTTCAGCTTCTTTCATGCATCTCTGAGCTTCCAGCCACTGATTCAATTTTGACACAAGCTCCAACATGGCAGCCAACAGCTCATCCCTATAAGAAACATGAACTGCATATTCTGCTTATGTAACATCACTGGGGATGAAAAACTGTTTCTTTGTTTATTTACTCTGATTCACTGATTGTTCATAGGATGAATAATGATGCATTTTTAACAGCAAAGGTTACACAGCAGTGAATGAGACATGCAGGTGATTGAATGGTCAGTAAGCAATCATCAGGTTGTGACATACGTGTAATCACGTGCAGGGACTGAGAAAATTGTAGATAACCTAAGTCTGTATCACTAGTATCATGATTCAAACCACATATCGCTTGTTTAAAACTAGTCCTCTGCATTAGTCCACTGTTCAAGTATACTGAAACCACTACGTCTCAGAATTTGGTTCTATTTCCATCTTCTGCCTGTGATTTGAGAGCTGATCTACCGAGGTGCCCATAAGAGAAGAATTTTGTTCAATGGATGGAAACAGAACCAATTTCCAAAACAGTAACAAATCCAGAAGCTGGACGAAGCATAAAATAAACATACTAAACATTATTTACTTCCAGGATGTAATGACAATTAAGACAGCATTACTGTACAGAATGAAGATTCGAGATAAGTACCTGTTAGCTAACCAATCAGCCTTCATTTCAGCTACACGAACACAAAACATTCCTAGTGTCACTTCCCTCTCCAGCTCTTTGCGACTCTGTTTTGTCTCCATGGTGACTGCTTGACCACCTCCATAGACTGCACCTGTACAATATGCAACAATCTGAACTCTCCACTTGTCTACATGCACACACATAACAAGGTAAAAGGTAGAGAACTGTAATTAATTACATGACTGGCACTGTGCCATGAAGGCATGTGGGGGGGCTGGAGGTACAGCTCCACCATTCTTAACATTAGCACTAGATGAAGGTGAATGGTCAGATTCCCAACCCTGATGCTTTATCCCCAAAGATAAAGCCCCTGGTATCCACTGGACTAGAAGCTGTGTGTTCACCAGAGCCAGTCTAGACTCCTTGGAAGGAGGAAAATCTCTAGCCCCTGTTAGGTATCAAACCCTGGTTCTCCAGCCCATAGCCTAGTTGCTATATCAACTAAGCTACACACAAACATACATGTACTAAGAGTATAATATTCTGGGATGTTATGCAACAGAGTCTGGTATAAGTTTACAAGACTACTTGATGCACTATACCAGAGGATAATACTCTTTAACAGTCACCACAATGAGAACCTCAAATTTCATAAACATTAAATAGTTCATAAAAGCCTGTTTCAGCCAGACACACAAAACATATGGCCTGAGGGCCACATGGGCCCCAAGGATTGCATTATTAGGACACAGAAATGTGAAACAGTTTTCTTTAAAAAGAAGCTCACATTATATACTTTTAATTTTCAAACAGAATGTTTCTTCCTCATTTGTTTTACTAAAATAAACTTTGCATTTATAACCAGTGGGGAAATATAGAAAAAATAAAAGAAACAAATAAAGGAAGAGGGAGGAAGAAAAAGAAAGAGAAGTAAAAAAAAAAGGATATAACAGACATAAAAAACAATCCAAGCAAAAATAAAAGCGGAACATCACATACTAATGAGTTCAGCTCACTACCTGTGTATCCAGCTTCATTGCCTGGTGTCCAGTCTATCAATGGGTCATACACAAATGCCTCCAGCAGGGTCAGCAAAGTTTCACGACCCTTCTTCATCACTTTCAGCACATGTTCACAAGCCAGGCGGAAAATGCCCTGCAAGGAACAAGAGACAGGAATCATCGTCAGCAACTTAACATCCAGTAATTTAGGATGAAATATATGATACTACGTTGGCAAAATTCTTTTGTTTTTGACTGTCAAAAACTTAACAAGACCCACATTATAATAGACAGATGTTCACAACACCTGATGATGAGAGTTAATGCACAGAATGTGAGACAGGCAAGAAGATCCCAGAACCCATACCTTGCAGTGCAAACCAAGTACTATGATGATAACTGGTGAAGACCGATTTATAGGAATTCTGTTTAGATTTAAGTTCAGTATCAAACTTACTAGTATACAGACCCAGTACTAACATAAACAACTGAAAGCAGTTTCATTTGAACACATATGCTGCACCCTGATGATGAACTTAAAAGATTGAAACATGTCACTAAATGTGAAAGACACTGTATGCAATTTATAACAGTATAATAATATACAAGGGTGAGTCAAATGAAAACCTTAAATTTGTAATAAAAAATCGAAATTCCATGCCATTATTCTGTAAGTTGGTAAGCGTGCTACGAACAGCATGCAGAATGGCCTGTAGGTTGCAGCATAGTGCAGATGCACGAACACTGCCCCACTTGAGACTTGCACCAGGGAAGAACAGTGTTCTGTTATTTGGTTTTTAGTGTAGTGAAGGTGTGAAACCTATTGAAATTTATTGAAGAATGAAGTTTCTATACCTTGATGCATGTTTGTCACAGCAGCAAGTGTACAAATGGAGTAGGAAGTTTGCAAATGGTGTGACTTAAGTGGAAGATGCTCCTCGTCCGGGTCAAGCACATCGAGTTGTGACTCCAGAGAACACTGCAGCAGTTGAAGCCATAGTGAGGGAAAACCGCCGAGTGACACTGAATGAAACTGCAGCAACTTGAAACATTAGTCAAGGTTCAGCACACCACATTGTGCACGATGTGCTCCAGTTTCACAAAGTGTCTGCAAGATGGGTGCCACGGCAGATGGCTCCTGAATTGAAAGACCGACGTATTGATGCTTGTGAAGAACTTCTGTGGTGCTTTGAACAAGAAGGTGATGACTTCCTTGCAAGAATTGTTACTGGGGACGAAACCTGGGTTCACTTCCACCAACCAGAAACGAAGAGGGCAAGCAAGGAATGGCACCATTCCTCATCTCCAAAACCAGAGAAGTTTCGAACACAACCATCAGCAGGGAAGGTTATGCTGACTGGCATCATCTTGGAGCACTACATGCCTAGAGGGACCACTGTCACCAGTGCATCATACTCAGATCTCCTAAAAAATCATCTTCGGCCTGCAACCAAATCAAAGTGACGTGGATTGCTGTCCACAGGTATCCTTTTGCAACATGACAATGCAAGGCCCCATACTGCCCATACAACAGTTGCGACAATCAATGATCTGCATTTTGAGTGTCTTCCTCATCCGGCATACTCACCAGACCTTGCCTCAAGTTATTTCCATATGTTTGGACCACTCAAAGAAGCAATGGGAGGAATGACGTTCCGTTCTGATGAAGAGGTATGCCAGGCGGTGGATGAGTGGTTGCATGGACTACCAAAAGAAGTTTTTTCTAAAGGAATTCATGCACTTTGTAAGCGCTGGAGGACTTGCACTGAGCATGGGGGAGATTATGTTGAAAAGTGATACAACTTTGTACCACTTGTGCACAATAAATAATACTAAAAAAATATATAAGGTTTTCATTTGACTTGCCTACGTACAAGGTTGAGTGAGATGGTATGCACATATACAGGCAAACACATTCACATGACATTTGCAATTTCTTTGGAGAACAGATCTAAACATTAAAGTGAGGGAAATTTTAAATGGAGGAAACTTAACACATTTTATTGACTTTGGGGCAAAACCCAGAATCAGAGAACATCACATGTGGGTTCCACTGGGTGTGTGCACACGCATGAATGTATCTGTGTTAACTAAGCCCTTAACTTTTATATTTAATTTGTCATTAAGTTCTGGTACCTTTCCAAACCTAATGAAGATCGCTAAAGTTAGGCCCATTTTTAAAAAAGGATGGAAACATGAAATTTCCAACTATAGACCAATTTCAATCCTGCCCGTATTTTCTAAAATTCTTGAAATGTTAATGTATAACAGGGCTGTGAGTTTTTTAAATAAATTCAACTTGATCTCAGATGTTCAAAATGGCTTCAGTAAGAATAAATCTACTTTAACTGCAATCCAAATTTTTATCGACAAAATTCAGAAAGCTTTAGATAATTAATGATTTGCATTGGACATATTTTTTAGATCTATCAAAGGCCTTTGATGTTATTAATCATAATCTACTGCTTGTGAAATGGGAGCTATATGGACTGAGAGGGATAATTCATGCGTAGATGAGTTCATATCTCACTGACAGAACTCAGTTTGTTGAAATTCAACATGTCGATTAAAAGATCTCTAACTTAAAGACATTTACTTCATCATGAGAGGCTATACCTCAAGGTTCTGTTTTGGGACCCCTATTATTTTTATTGTTCATAAATGATTTGCCCCTAGCTATTCATGAGGCTGAGGTTGTATTATTTGCTGATGATACAAATATACAACTTACTGACAATAATCTCTTATCATTAAACGAAAAAATCTTAAATGTTAGGAATCAATTAGAAAATTGGTTCGATGAAAATAATCTCATAATAAACACGGATAAGACTAAAGTGTTATTCTTTTAGGGAAGACCTCCAATTTATAGACCTGTTGTTTGCTTAAATAATAAGGAAATAATTTATTCATCGAATGTAAAATTTTTGGGTATTTGTATTACTGAAAATCTAAGCTGGGCAAATCACACTCAATACGCATGCCAAAGTTCAACAAGGCTCTTTATTTGATTAAATTCTTACACGACTCAGCCAATCTGTATTAAGAAACGTCTATTTTACTAAGTTTGAATCTGTATTGAAATATGGTATTATTTTTGGGGGTGGGGGCTTAAGGACTCTGAAACTGTATTTAAAATACAGAAAAAATGTCTAAGAGTGATTAAAGGTGTATCCTATAGAAATATGTTTGGTGAATTTAATATTTTAAACATTACCTCATTATATATATTTGAGATTTTATGTTTTATAATAAAGAATAAGAAATATAAAACTCAGTATTATGATATTCACAGCTACAACACCATACATAAACATAATTTGTATGTCCAATTTTATAACACCGATCGTTGCAAAAAAGGTGGAATTAATATGGGAACTAAAATATTTAATTGCCTTCCCCTTGAACTGAGAAGCATTAAAAATGTTAATGTTTTTATGAGGAAACTGAAAAATTATTTGCTGTGCAGTGCTTTCTATTCTTTAATTGCTTCTTGCATCCTGCTGTGTATTTAATCAATATTAGTGTCAATTTTATCGACCACACAACATATTTTTATTATTATTACACTACATGTTTCGACCTCAAGAGGTCATCCTCAGGTGTACGAACACTGCTGTATAATTACACGCAATCACATTCGTCTTCTCACTTATAGAATAATATTTTAACTTGTGTTTTGTGAGAGGAGCTTGATATATTATTGAGCACGGGCCTGAATAAGATACAGGATCGAATAAGTTAAGTTAAGTTAAGAATAAGTCTTCAAGTTAAGTTAACAGAAGTAACTGGCCAATACTCATATTCATAAGTTTTATCAAAACCCATGACACTGTGCAGGTGCTAAAATATTCTTCAGGCACATTCTATTTGACGTTTTCTTCAGTTTCGTATAAGGAACACAGAATACAATACCCCACTTCATTTAGCCTATTCAAATACAGTATAAATTTATCATCCTGCAGATGCAGCTTAGCCATTTTGCCTGAACGACAAGTTACCAAAATCCTAGATCAGTCAGTATACACATTAGGCCATGGGCAGGATGGCTAAGGAATTGGAATTCAACTCTGAGGATGGGAAAGAGATTTATCCCTTCTTCACAGCATCCAGACTGGCTGTGGGTGCCCAGCCTCCTATCCAATGAGTACTGAATCATCATAAACCATGTGAGTGAAGTAGAAAAAAATCAGAAAGAGGAATGAATTGAATGAAGAAAAGGAAGGGAAAATAGAAACAAGGAAGAAAAGAGAACAGAAAATCAGTCAGTGTCTATATTATTATTTTCATGACTGAATTGGGATGGAAAGATTTTATTACACAAATCATTGTCTCAGTATAGATATATCCAACCAGGAAAAAAAAAGAAGTATTTTCTTGCATGGTCAGGAATGGACATTGCATAATCTTTATTACGGTTTATGATTCACAAAGGCCTCTGGTGTTGGCATGTACTTATAAAGGTGAAGGTTATGACAATCAAATGATCTCCAGGACACCAAAAAGGAAAGATACAAGTTTCTACTGACTGAAAGCCACCCAATCTTTACAGCACATTTACTGCATTTTAGTCACTACACCAACTAAGAGAAGACTGAATATACATGGAATTGTGAAGTTAAACAAATTAGTCACCAAGTTAAAACTACTGCCAGCTATATGCATGACTTGCTAACCTTGGACAAGCTGCAGTATCAACATTAAGGTTCAATACTCAAGAGTCAACACCTGTGACAGGATCTTATGTGGCTAATTTTGACAGTCAGTATTGTGAGTGTGGCACTTGCTGGCAGTGGCTACTGCAGCTTTCTCGAATGCTTTCTTAGTTGGTGCATGCTGTAACGGGAAAATGGGAAATTCTTCAACATCCACCACCATGACAAATGCATGCAAAGCAGTTTATGTGATGTGTGGAAAAGTTTGCTGACTACTTGGCGTAAAACAGGCTTTGTAACTGGTCAGTATCATTAAAAAACAAAATGGCCAACAATGTTGTTGAACTCTACTGAAGTTTTATTAACAGTTTTTTGTATACATATAAAGCTGGTTTCATTAGGCTCAACACAGCTAAAAACCGAATTGCCTGACAACCTTTATCAAATTTTACAATAATTAAGTTTTAAAGAAATCTATCCCATGGCTTTGGCACTGATACTAGGGCACAGATTGGGAGACATTGTTTGCTTCCACACTGTAACATCAACTGTTGAAACACACTGCAATTTAAAATAATTTAGTAAGCACCATGAAATTATAACATAAAATTATATTTATTTACTCAATACCCTGCCATTTCAACCTCAAATGGTCACCATCAGAGGTGTCCTATTAACAATACTTTTATACTTTTAGTACAATCACGCAAAGTTTTTCTCAAAAATGAAGAATTAAGTATAAAAGTACACAATTTTGTATAAGAAAACTTAATTACAGAACTGTCATCAGAACCAACAGATAATATGCAAAAACTGGTGCAAACATGTCAGAAGTGCAACAACTAACATATCTACAAAATAAGAAATGCTCAAATGTCCCTTACACCCCTAAATTAGAAGCACAAATTAAATTTCATAAAGCTAATATGTCTATTAGGCCTGTAATCAACAATACAACAGTTCCAATCTACACAACTAGCAAAACATTAAGCCCGAATGCCAACAATTGATCACAGCATGCTAATGAAGACTATGTTTATTATGGAAGTCTCACAGCCTAAGTGTGGAGTGTTAAAACATATAAGCAAACTACAGAATCTTAACTGAGCTGTACTGTAACTCAAGTTTATATAAAAGGATGTGTGTTTTCATTACATGCACACTTAAAATGTGTGCATCACATGGTTCTCCATTCTCATTCCAAAAATAAATGTTTCCCCCTGGAGCTGGTTCTTTTACTGAACGTTCAAGTCAACTATTTTAACACAAAAATATTCTGATTCTAAAAATATGTTGTTTTCATTCTTTCATGATTCTAGAGTTAATGACACTTTAAGAACTACAGAGATTATACAGCAGTGAATGAGATGTGACATGAATTGGCAAGTTGTGAGATAAAGCAGTTGTGTTTGTGAACGTAATGTCTCAGCATCTATCTGGAAGTACTGAGCTAAATCACAAATAATCCTGGAAGGACAGCCATGATTCTAATTGGAAACGTACCCAATTGAAGCCTGTGTTCTACATTCATAGACTTAAATGACCTGATTTTCACAGATGTCTAACACATCTCCATTAATTCATTTAATGTTGTTTTATTAAGTGTGTAAGTTATGTAATACTGAAAAACAAATGATTTTGGATATTGGAATAAGAAGAATGTGGAAATAGTCTTGTCTTGTTTTATGAACATGACTGAAGGTACACAGGCAAACTATGAAAAGGCCCATACAAGCCTCAGACTCAAACCTAGGACCTCCTAAACATGTAGGACTACGACACCAAGATAATCAGTGTGGATATTGATTTGGTTACTATGTATATGGAATAAGAGGTCATCACTTATTTCAAGGAACCACTTCAGCATTTTCCTACAACAGACTGTGAAAACCCACAAAATGCCTGTCAGGGAAACTGGTCTCCAAGTGAGATTTGAACTTCAGACCTCCGTATGTGAAAGAGGGATGCTAACCTCAAGACTGCAATGTTCAGCTTTCCATACGGTTTGCAATTATAGTCAGATATGATAATAGGACTGAAGATATTAAAATCAGAAGTGTATACTATACCTCATCAAAAGAATTTATAATTACCTGACTATGTAAGCAGTTTCATTCTGTGTAAACTGCCACACATATCATATGCTGTGCATTGTGATCATGTGATAACAGCTGCTCCACCCATTTAATACATAAATTTGTAATAAAGCAGTCATGGAGTGCTTCATATCAGCAGGTGTGTGGTGGTCAAGGACAACCTATCTGTTCTCACAAACGTCGTTAATCAAGTTAAAATTACAGTGCTGTGTATTCAGTTTCAGTGGATCAGATTAGTGCCTTGATAAATGCAATAAAATGAACTCTACAGAGACAAAATGAATGCAATGATAATGGTAAGAATATTTACGGTCTTGTGCTATATTACAGGAGTGGCAGTTTGAGAGGTCTGACCCTTCCAGTCACAACAGCTTATGTTTATGGCTGTGAACCATTACTGACAGGAAAGTTTACTTGTATGGTGACAGAAGTACCACTGCATTAACCCTGCATCTTCCAGGTATGAAAAATACCAAAATGAATTCCATAAATAACAGACAAATTTATATCTGGTGGTAGTTAATTTTCAAAACCTGATTCAGGAGGAAATTAAGAGGAGATTGAACTCGGGTAATACTTATGACCATTCAGTCCAGAACCTTTTGTCTTCTCGTCTGCTGTCCAAAAACATAAAAATTGGATTATACAAAACTATAATTTTGCCGGTGGTTCTGAATGGGTGTGAAATTTGGTCTCTGACATTAAGGGGGGAACATGTTTGAGAACAGGGTGTTGAGGAGAATATTTGGACTGAAGAGGGATGAAGTGACAGGAGGTTCGAGAAAACTGCATAATGAGGAGCTTCATAACTTGTACTGTTCTCCAAGTATATTTAGAATGATCAAGTCAAGGAGGATGAGGTGGGCTGGGCATGTAGCATGAATTGGGGAGAAAAGGAATGCATATAGGATATTGGTGGGAAAGCCAGAAGGAAAGAGACCACTGGAAAGACCAAGGTGTAGGTGGGTGGACAATATTGAAATGGATCTTAGAGACACAGGATGGGATGGTATGAATTGGACTGATCTGGCTCAGGATAGGGACCAGTTGGAGGGCTCTTGTGAGCACGGTAATAAACCTTTGGGTTCCATAAAATGCTGGGAAACTCTTGAGTAGCTACAGAATTGGCGGCTCCTCCAGAAGGGCTCAGCTCCATGAGTGAGTGAGTAAGTAAGTAAGTAAGTAAGTAAGTAAGTAAGTAAGTAAGGTAGTTCATTTTGTTATACAATGAACCCAAAATTGATAGAGCATCTGTGTGTATCCCAGTTTCTTTTACTTTGAAATCTAAAAATGAAAAACATAGCTACTTCTTTCTGTATAAGAAACAATTAAAATCTGGACTAACAGTGAAAGTAACTCCTACAGAATTCTTCTAACAACATTATTTTCTTCTGAAATGTGACACCATATAGCCTGGTTGATGCCTACTGACATTCAAAAGGAACATGCTTTGGTTGAGGATGGAGGCGATATCTTCCTTCGAAATGTCAGTAAATGGTTACATGGTGTAGTAACCCCAAGACAGAAATCTTTGTAGCCACCATTGCAAGAACTCCAAATACCTCACAACTCTTTTATCTCTCAAATTGTAACTTCCTGTAACATGAATGTCTCAGAGATGTCAGTAGCTTTCAGAAAATGAAGCTGCACTCTAAGTGTGAAATCAAGCTAATGCCACAAAAGAGGTGACCGATCCTTGGAAGGAAGGAAATAATGTAAAAGAGCTAGTTATTGGCAGGAATTTGAAGCAAGTACCACCTGTACACAAGTCTGACATATTAGCAACATCCCATCATACTGAATTCCACAACCATCCACTTCTCACTAATACCAATAATGTTCCAATATTGATTTGCTTCACAATTGCCCATTATCTTTCCTTCTTTGTGGTTTCCTTGCTTACTATATGCTGAGTAAGCAACAGGATTAAACACCTGTATCTCTCACAGAGGGGGAAAGCCCACAAGGTAAACAATGGCTACAGAACTTCAAAGAGAAACCAGTAGGATTACATCAACTATGTACATTTGCCCATCATTGCTATTACAACTAATTAATATTTTCAGTATGGGAAATAGACATTCAGGGAAATCCCTTTTGTGCTCTGCAGCTTTGGTATATCCCAGTGCTAAGATAACATTAGAAGAGAACACACTGGTAACACATGAACAGCTCTACTGCCTAGTGAACATGCAATGAGGTCAACTAATTCTGGACTACATTGCTTGCAGAAATTGTTTATTAATGATTATGAAAAAAAAAAAAGCACTGACGAAGATTTATCTTTCTGAGTAACTTTGTGCATATTTATGGTAAGTGCAATGAAATGAAAATGCTACTTGAAGGAAATTAAACGATTTTTAAGTCGTGTCTGTCTTGTAATAAGACACTTTATCACTTCCATGATTTTTATATCATAAAGAAAGACTTATAATAAGACACTTTATAACTTTAGTGATTTTTTATATTATAAAGAAAGAGACTTCTGATGTTATGTCACTGAGGGTGTACCCCTTACCACTCCAAAAACATTAAAACCATTTCATGCATTTCAGTGGAACCTAATATGGAAGTGAAGCTTTGGACTTCTAATGCCCCATCATCAATAATGTCAAGATTGCAGTCATGCAAACTTCTGAGGTGGAAGTGACACTGTAACTTGCTACAGAGTTCAAGATTTTGTGTAATAAAAAATCTTCAAAAGACATAAAACTTTTTCTAAATTCACTTTTTGTACAATGTGGAACATATCACTGTAGAGTGAAGCCTATAGTTTTATTTGTTTTACAATAACGCAGCTCAAAATCTGTATCACTCTAACACCTTCTACAGTAACCTTCTACCAAGTTTTATCAAAACATAATATTTTTGGACATGAAATAGGCTGAAAAAAACTTTGCAATGTGCAATGAAGTCTTCTTGGGCAATCAGCCGTGCCAATACAGAATTAGTATCTAATGTTTCATACTGTCTCTGTCTTTATCATCTTGGATCGATACAGCTATGGAGACCATCTATGCAATGTCAGATACTAACCCTGCATTGACATGCTGATCACATGAAAAGACTTCTCTGAATAGAGTCACTGTGAAAACTTCAAATTTTGTGTACTCCTTGTAATGTATTCATTTTATACTCTTTCTGCAATGAAAGCAGACTGTTCCATAAAACTAACATAAGCCTACAGAACTGTGATGCAGAAAATTATCATTTCAGATGCACCAAGACATGAAACCCAGAATATGTGCTGTACCCATCAGGAAAAGTGTCTACAGTTGTGGGGCTAACTTCAAAACAAAGTTAATTTAGGACCAGTGCTACATGAACAAACAATTACAAACAGAAGTTTATGATAAAACAAAATAGTTCCTTTTGCAGTGGATAAAGTGACATAATCTAGCTAAAACCTAGCAAAGAAACATGCAATGTGTAACGGACTGCTGCCAATTAATGTATAATACATGATAACAAATACGATAACACAATGCCTTGTGAACATTCCAGAAATCTCACTTCCACAGAAAATGCACTTAATTCCCACACATTATGGAGTATCTTAGACTGTGCACTTCTGGTGGTTATCCTTTGCGGCAATACACTCACAGTATTAGCCATTCGATGCAGCAGACGTCTGTCTAATGTTATGTCAAACCAATTTGTTCTAAGTTTAGCAATATCAGACTTACTCATTGGACTCACTCTGCCATATCACATGGCTTTCTACCTTTCTGACGCAATTGGAAAAGACAAGGAAACGTGTATTCTACGATTTGTACTCCTTGCTTTGGGCTGTTCAGCCTCCCTATGTAATCTCATCATAATCGCCATTGACAGATATATTTCCATTGTTCACCCACTACACTACTGCAGATTAATAACAAAGAGGTAAGTAAGATGGCATTGCTACACACCAGCTTACTGTAAATGTAGTCTGTTTCACTTTTTGCTACACTTTGTAAACATTACGTATGACTTTAATAGCAGGGTCATCTGAGTGCTGAATTAGAAATGAGATGTATGGAAGCAATCATGGCCTTTCTACAGCTGCATATGAAACTTTCCAACCATCTTCTATGGCACACATATCAGTGGGATAAGTACAGCAACAGATTCCAACATATTTTATCTATATTACACTACTACTTCAAAATCTTACAAAAAAAAGAAAATGGCATTAATTTTTCCCCCATAAAATAACAACATGCAGTTAAGATTTTTACATTTTCAATTTATCTAACTGTACTGCATACCAGAAGGTTATGACACACAAAACTTTCATTCTGGCCGACAACTTTTTCTCTGTAACTTGAATGAAATGCCATGCAGATACACACACACAGTATGGTCAAGACAGTGGGAGAATGGCAGAAAGTAATCTGTTTAGGAAGACACATAACCATGTCCGCGTAACCGCATCAATCTCGATATCCTGAAGTTAGGCCAGGGTTGGCTATAATCTTATAAAACTTCATTCCTATGTTTTTGTTGTGTTCTGTCTACACAAGTTTATTTAACTATCATTAAGAATTTTTTTCATTTTAAGCAAACTGTCACTGAACATCACAGTAGTAATCATAGAAGTCCTGTTTCGTATTTGGAAGATTCTGGGTCTCATACAAAGCCAAGATATTGGCTATCCTGAAGTTTTCATGACTTTCCTCAATCACTGAAGACAAATTCTGGGATAATACCTCAGAGAAGGGACAATTGCTTCCATTCATTCTTCAAAACAATTCTGTCTGCATTTACTGTTACAGAGTGGCCATAACGATGATAGCTACAGGCTGGTGCATAGCATTAATGCTGTCCACAATGCCAATTTACTGGAATAATTGGTCAGCAAATGATGAATGTGACATAGAGCATGTCATGGCACCCAACTACTTTGTTTACATTATGCTTCCACTATTTCTCTTATTATGGGTGGCCATGTTTGTCATTTACTGGAAGATATGGCGGGAAGCAATGAATCAAGTACGCAGATTACGAGAGATCAATTTTCTCCATGGTGGAGGTCCTTCTGACTGGAAATCCATTCAGGTCAGTTTCAAGTGAACACATAGTAAAGGCTGATGAAACTGGTATGGAATTCTTCTGGGTTTCAAAGGACTTCAGCATTATCTGGTACAGAGTTTGTAATGTGTCCAAACTTTCACATGTGGCAGTCAACACAATAATAACAATACTCAATAAGACAGAAGAGATACTATCATATCAACATTTATTTGCGACATGTTTCGGCCTTTATTTTTGGGTCATCCTCAGGCAATACACATGCTATTATTTGTGTATTGCCTGAGAATGATCTAAAAAGAAAGGTTGAAACGTGCCAAAATAAGAACTGAACAAATGTTGATATGACAGTATTTTGTCTTATAGTGTATTATTGTTGTTACTGTGTTGGCTGCACCATATGAAAGTACGTTAAGATACAAAACAGGATGCATATTTTGAAAATTTGTGTGTCACCTACCAAACTACAGATGGACACAAATGCAGATTTCATGTAAAATGACAGATTACTTTCTTAGATGATATATCTTTCAACACTGCCCATGGCATGCCACAATTCCTTTATGAAAGTGGTTCTCAAACTGTGGGGCACGACCCCCATGGGGGGGAAGGGCTTGAAAGGGGGGGCACAGCATACTTTCCTACAGATAAAAATTAAAACTGCCCTAAATCAATTAGAAAAGTAACAAAAAAATAAAAATAAAAATACATATAGAAAAACTTCTGATGAGTACAGGCTTTAATTATCATGAATTTCAAATTAACTAATAATTATTCTCTTTACCGGCAATTATAAAATGCATAAGCCAGAGACAGCGTTGATAGTTCAGCAGCAGCCTCATCCTCTGAAATCCTCTGAAGTCTAGACTTTTTAAAATGCTGTGTTAGGAAATGGGTGCCAAACACACTGCTCTGTTGTTTTTAGTGATCCTCGATGGCTTTCAAGAGGCAAGGTATTAAAGAGAATGTTTAAGCTGAGGCATGAGGTGTTCTGTTTTTTAAATGGGGAAAATCACTCACTGGCAGACAGTTTCAGCAACCAGGATTTTTTATTGAAAATGGCTTACCTCACAGATATATTTGAGAAACTGAATATCCTCAACGCTTCACTTCAAGGGAATGAGGCAACTGTACTTTCTTGGAATGACAAAGTGAAGCCATTCATGAGAAAATTAGAGCTCTGGAGAAACAGTATGGAAAGTGACAGGCTAGACATGTTCCCTACTCTGGTGTCAATGGTACAAGACACTGACAATCCAGTGCTTCCAATGGACATAAAAGCTGCCTACTTGATCATCTCATAATGTTGAACGTTCATTTCGAAAAATACTTTTGCAATGATTTTGATAAATTTAATTGGATTAAAAATCCATTCGAAAATGCTCCTGGGCCATCATCTCTGAAGGTAAATGAGCAAGAACTCATTGATCTCACTAGTGATTCTTCTTTAAAAAGTAAATTTAAGGAATTGTCTTTGTTGGAGTTGTGGATACATATTGGCAAGGAATTCCCAACTTTGAGCCAAAAGGCATTGAAGATACTGATTCCTTTCGCAACAACTTACTTATGCGAGACAGGCTTTTCTGCTTTGGCAGCTATAAAGTCAAAGTATCGCTCAAGGCTAAATATTGCTAAAGAAGTTAGAGTGGCCATTTCTGATATTACACCACATTTTGATAAACCTTGTTCTCAAAAGCAGGCCCATCCATCACACTGAACTTTGACATTTAAATGTTTGATTTTCTTTGAAAAAAAATTAAATACTTGTTAGTTAAATATCGTTTCATTTCAATACATATTTTGGTTAATTGCAAGTGTTAAAACTAATTAATTGTATGCCTAGTATTGTGATACTTTAATTTTGAGTAAGAAAACTGCTAAATAGTATGTAGAAAAACACAAAATAAACTGAATGAAACGTCAAACATACCATGAATTATAGTTTGATAAAAAAAAACAGCCTGGGGGCCTGAGAGTATTTTCTCTTGTCGGGGGGGCTCAGAGGTAAAAAGTTTGAGAACCACTGCTTTATGCAATGAGAACTTGTCATAATTTCAGTCTTTACTTGGAGCTTCACCTCTGATGTGGTACTTGGAACACAAACATTTTGTAAACTGTGTTTGCTGTTTACAGGTGGTATTACTAATACTGGGCAGCTTCTCCATCTGCTGGCTACCATACATGGTTGTGGCGTGCACAATACTGTCTGGGGTATGTACCAGTGATACTGGGATTGGCTACAAAGCAGCATTTTCAATGGCAATGGCAAATTCATGCATGAATCCAATCATCTATGCCTGGAAGAACCCTGAATTTCGTCAAGCGATCAAAAGGATTCTTCACTGCCACTCACCCAACAGAACACTTCCTGACCCATCTTTCATCACAGCAAATAAGATTTCGCTTAGGACAACCGACACAAATGTGGACAGCAGTGAACATAAGATGACATATGATCCGTAAATGTATCACAGAATATAAAATCTTATAGTTTTAGACATGCATGAATCTTGAGAATTAAGAACAACATGTTTTATACTGAAATGATCAATTAATAATTTGGGTCAACTCATTAGATTTTAGTTCTTGAAAGTTATGCTACAGAAGCTTGTATCAATGTGGAGAAGAAATTAGCAGGGGGTCAGGGGTGTAATTAATGTCCATCCCCTGGCTCAGGATACTGGCAAATTTCATTACAACATACATAATGGATCAAAATCATACAAGCGTTACAAATATACAGAAATTGGATGTCCTGCTTAAAAATGTAAAAATATAAAAACAATTTGCATATATTGGCTTCTGAATCCCCATATTATAATTATGTAAAGCATTAGCAAATACTGGTGAATAAAAACTTTAACTACAAGCACTCGACTCTTCTTTCGAAACCATTAACTTTGGTATTATGTCCCAAAAATCATTTCATATTCTGCATGAATACTGCACTCCAATACAAAAGACAAATCCAAATTACATATATACATAAAAGAAATTAAGACAGAAAAAGACAGAGAATTATTCAGATTCCAGTCAAACATCAACAGAGATATTTTCATAACATGAAGGCTGTAAAAAAAGCATTTCCATTTTTTTCCCTACTTTCCTTCTTAATGACCCTTTCCCATTGGATAGCACCATGCTCCACAACCCCACCCTTACTTCCCCTGCAAGTCCTGTATATCAGGTCACACCATCCTTCCACCTCGTTCACCCTGATGATAGCAATAGCAATGCATGTCATAACATTAGATCAACTTCAACAGATAATATAGCTACACCCTAACAGAAAACAAGAAACACCAACTAAAGTAACACTCACCTCCACGCCTGTAACCCCTAGAGCAGTGCGAATATTGGGTGTCATGCGGAAAGGAACCTTCTCTGGCACCCTCAATGTCTTCCCCTTCTCAAAGCACACATTGTAGTCTATGTGCACCACCTAAAAACAATTTCGAATACAGTTAACAAAACAGACCAACCAATCTGGTGTAGCGCTAAGGTTCTCACTTGTATTCAGAAGATATTGGTTTAAATTCTAGCCGAGTCACCACCAATCCCCACAGATGTAGTCTGGATGCTGAGATTGAATAACTTCATGCAAATTTATTGTATGGCTGCTGATGATTTTAAATAAAATGTAAAAGTACACTGAATAAAATTCTGATGCTTCTCCTTAGTACCTACTGAAAAATTCCATGAAAGTATCTAACAGGCCACGATCAATTCCTCACACACCATTTTCTAATACTCAAAATAATAACTAACTCTACAAGGTAAGATCTTCTGTAAGCTGTTAAGAGCTATCCAGCTGCTCAAGGAAGTTTCTTCTGCTAAATTGATATAACGGAAGTCCAACACTGTCCAGAGCCCCAAGCCAATTCAATCCAATTCACACTCACACAACCTGTTTCTCCAGGAACCATTCAGATACACTTCAACATACAGCTTGTCTCCCAAATCATGTTAAGATTATGTCAAATTAGAAATGAGAGGATAAAAATGAAAAGCAATTGTAAGAATATATGGGGAAATTGAGAGTGACATATTTTCAGTATCTGCTTGCAAAGACTGAAGAAAACAAATGTGGACACCAGTATCCAAAGTGAAAAAAAACGTGATATTAAACATACTGCAATAGTACCAAGGAATGTAAGAAAAAAATTACATACAATTTAATGCCCACATGTGAGAGATAAAAGAAAAATTTTAAATCAAGACTTCATCATAGTTACTTCACAGTACATACCTCTCCAGTTAACAAATCAACCAACACATTGTCCAGATGTCTGTCTCCAAGACCAATAATGTAGCCAATTATAGACATGACAGCAACTGAATAGGAGTATGTCCGAGTTGTCTGCCACCAACTGCCAGCATTCACACTGTGACACCAGAGCTCCCTGCAAGGCAAACAACACTCACCATTGAACTGGTGCAAATTTCAGGGTCTGAAAATTATCTTGTCTGACTTAATATCACTTGTATACTACAGCCTCTTTAAAGTTAAAATGAGATTTTATTTTTATAATAGCGTTGTATGTACTGGGAACAAAGTATGCCTGTATGACTCATCAGGGAGGAGATGTCTGTATATACATAAGATCAGATATAAAATTTACTGCTATAAACTTAGCATGGTTCTGTGATGAAAAGAACATAGAAATTTGTACACTTAAGATTTATTTAGCTAAAACTAACATATTTGTACTGTGTATATATAGGTCACCTTGTGGGAATTTTGAGTTATTTGTAAATAAGTTGGATAAAGTACTCAAATTACTCTATAAACCAAAAATTGAATTTATAATATGTGATTTTAACATAAATTTTTTAGAAGAGTCAACACATAAAACACAGCTATTAGTGCTGTTACAATCATATAATATTGTGACGTGGATAGCACAACAGGAAGTAGGGGTCACGTGAACTCTGTGTTCTCACAAGTGACGTCAAATACCCCCACTCCTTCCATCATTACGCAACACTTGGTAAACACCCCTCCCCACTAGGCTGTGATGTCGCACAACAGTAGGGCGTCTATTGCTAGGCAATGCGTAGGTAGACACACCTGACAACAATACCTGGTATCTGTTGCTGAGCAGAAAAGTGTTCTCTATGTTGTCCGTGCCGAGCCTAAATAAGGAGCAGCGAACACTATTCAGTAGTAGTGAGTACTGAGCCAGTTACCAGTATTTAGTATGAGTTGAAGTTCAGCAGTCGCCGAGTCAGGTTGTATCGAGTGCATGGTGGGGACTCCAGCAGGGGAAGTAATTCTGACACTGCAGATTGCAGTAATTGGGAAATTGTGAATTGTATAACTGTAAGAGCGAGTGGAATAAATTCGCTAAGATCCATGACGGCGTGAAGTTATTTGTCGCGTCACATACCCAACACATGACAATATATTTCATATAGTACAATTCCCAACTAGAATAACTGAGACCAAAAGCTCTGCAATTGATAATATTTTTCTAGATAAGGCAAGCATAAATTCATATGAAGTAACCTCTATTAGTGATGGACTATCAGATCACGATACTCAGTGTCTCATACTAAAATATATCAATTTCCTGGAGAAGAAAAAAGTGCAGGGAATCACAGGAAGATTAGTAAATGAAGACTGAATTGTTCAATTTCTTATTAAACTATCTAATGAAAAATGGGAAAATATATATAAACTTAACGATGTAAACGAAATATTCAACTCATTTTTAAACAAGTATTTACTTGTCTATGAGTCATGCGTTCCAAAGCAAAATGTAACAAATAAACTAAAGGATAATGGCTGGATAACAGCTGGTACACGTACCTCCTGTAGACAGAAGGAATCTTTGTACATTCTCTGTAGAAACAATTACAACTATTTGTTTAAATCGTACTATAAATCCTACAGCATGATATTAAGAGTAATAAGAGAAGCTAAGAGGAAATATTATAATCAGTTAATCACATCAGCTGAAAACAAAATAAAAACTACCTGGAACATTATCGACACTGAAACAGGTAGGATTAACAATCAGAATAAAGAACATCTACCTCAGACTTTTCAAAATAATAGAAAAAAATAAATACTGAAGCAGCAGCTCATAGTTTTAATAAATATTTCACGTCAATAACAGAAATTCTTAATATTAAGAAAACTAATATTTATACTGCAATGTCATACTTGCATTCCCATTTCTCAAATGGTATTCCAGATATGAATCTTAATTTAGTTGCAGACGAGGAAATAATTAGTATAATTAGCAAATTAAAATCAAAAAAACTCTTCAGGGTATGATGGTGTAACAAATAAAATTATAAAACTGTGCAGACAACAAATTAATAAACCTCTAACTTATGTAATTAATAAGTCATTAACCATGGGTCTATATCCAGAAAGATTAAAATATCCAATTATTAAGCCAGTATACAAAAAAGGGGAAAAGCTGTTATAAGTAACTACAGGCCAATATCTATAGTACCTGGGTTTGCAAAAGTTTTTGAAACAGCAATTTTTAGAAGACTCAATGATCATATCTTAAGGCATAAAATACTACTTTCAGAGCAGTATGGATTCCAAAAGGGATTATCAATCGATGATGCAATGTTTAAATTAACCAATGTAATATTTACAGCTTGGAATAGAAAACAGTATGTAACTGGTATATTTTGTGACATAGCCAAGGCCTCTAACTGTGTTAATCATGACCTATTAATGAAACTGCAGTACTATGGAGTGCAGGGTGTATTATTGCAATGGTCCAAATCTTACTTCCAATATAGGAGTCAAAGAGTGGAATTAAATTATATTGTGACATGTTGACCCCTACCTCCCCAGCGGTGCGTGGCGGTGGCGTAACGCTCGCGTTCTTACGGTAATAGGCGAGTTCCCGCCCCGCCACTCCCCTCCGCGGTGACGTCACCGAGGGATATCGCGGTCGCTAGGCAACGCGAATCAACAGCGGCGACGTTACGATAGTAACAGCGGTGACCTCCGCTAGCGTTACATAGCAACAGAGCGCCAGGCAAAAGGGTGCCTATTACGTGGCCGTTTTCCCGTATTGTCCGATCGAGGCTACATAGGGAGAAGCGAAGGCTATTCACAGCCAGTTCTAGTGTGGCTACCGCAGAGTTGTACTGAGTCAGTCAGCGAGTCCTGGACCTATCGTCGAGTTAGCCAGCAACCAGTCAGTTGTATTGTGGCATTTGGAGTGTACTAATTGTGATACTGCAGGTAGCAGTAATCGTCAGATTGTAATTTGGGTGATTGTATTAGCGAATGTGAAATAAAACTCGCTACATCAAATACAACGAGAAGTTATTTGTCGCGATATACCAGCGATACGCGACAACTGGTGTTGTCTAAGTTCTAACTGGGAAATTGTTGGATGTGGTGTGCCTCAGGGATCAGTGTTGGGACCCTTACTCTTTAATATATACATAAACGATTTCCCCTTGAAATAAGTAAAATTTCGGAAGTTATTATGTTTGCAGGTGACACAAGTATTCTTTGCACAGCTAAAGACTATTATAATTTAAAAATAAAATTGGATGTTGTTTTTAATCACATGTTTACATGGTTTCAAAATAATAAATTTGTGTTAAATCTGGATAAAACAAAAATGATAAAATTCACTCCTAACAGCAGCTACGAGCTACCTTCTATATACATTGTTTTTTAACAAAAAGCTGAAAGAAGTAGAAAGGATAAAATTTCTTGGTTTGCAGCTGGACAATCATCTGACTTGTAAGGGACATATCGATTTTTTGCTTCACAAGTTGAGCACAGTTGGTTTTCTAATGTGAAAATTATCCTATATATTAAACATAAATAGTCTTAAAGCTGTATATTATGCATATTATCATTCACTGGTGAAATATGGAATAATACATTGGGGAAATACATCAGAGTCATAAGGTCTTTGTTATACAAAAGAAAATAATAAGAATAATGATGGGAGTGGGCCCAACTGATACATGTAGAGATTTATTTAAAAAGCTTGACATCCTACCAATAACTCTGTATATATTGTGACATATTTGCGCTATGCAGGACACACCTTCCACCACCAGCGATGATGTAACACCTTCGGAGTGTTGCCGTTGCTACGGTAATAGGCCAGTTAACACCCCGCCCACTCCCATGGTGACGTGACCAAGGGATGTCGCGGTTGCTATGCAGTAGTAAACAACTCCTGACAGCGCTGCTAGGCTATCGGCAAACACGGCGTCAGACAACAGCGGTACCTATCACGTAACTGTTTTCTGTCTTGTCCGTGCCAAGGCTATATAAGGAGCAGTGAACACTATTCACAGTTAGTTACGAAGAGGGAGTAGAGTATTCAGTAGTTACTAGTTAGTTATTGTGTTATCAGGAGTGACATAGTTGAAATGTGGCCGTCGCCGTAGACAGTTGAATTGGAACAGTCACCGAATTCAGTTGTTATGGAAAGAAGAATACTGGGACGTGTGATTAGAAGTGATAGCATGAGAAGCAGATGCTTGGCTCACAAGAGAAGTAATTGGGAGTGTGTAATACAGTGACACTGGTATTGCTCCCATATCAAGTTATGAATACACGTAGACTACTGACGACAGTGTGAAGAGATTTGTGTGTACGGTTTATAAATTGTGTAAACCCCTAACAGTGTTATAATTAATTGTAGTCAAGACTTGTAGGTTGTTAAATAAGCCAATTAACAACCCGAACGGCGTCTTCAGTGGAAAAACACGTTACAATATGATTGGTAATAGAAGGAATGGACCACCTTCAACACATTTATCTCCCTATCCAGGCGTCAAGCTATTTAACACTCTGCCATCAAATACACTCAACTCTTGATTATCCGGGGGGGTGGATAAACAGGTTTGCGGCTTATATGTTGTTTAATATTGATTCACTTTTGTTTCACATGGTGAGTTGTAACACTATTTTCGCACTAGTGTGAACCGAGCTCCGCATTTTTTGGTCCCGTTATGCCAACACAATGTTCTAGGGTAGGAGTGAAAGAATGCAAGGATTTGTGGAAAGTTTCAAGGACAGATACACTGCCCCAGTTAGTCTCTTTGTATTGATCTTCAAGTGCGTTAGCAAAATGTCAGGGTGTAAAAGGAAGCATGTTGTGTTAAGTATTCAACAGAAACTCGTGTGAGCTGGGCTCTGAAATGTTAAGCAGTGACGAAATCGTAAGTACAGTGGGGGTCAGCCAGAAGAGCGGGGAAGAAAGTGAGAATGAGGAAGAGGTGGACAGTGCTGCTAGTAAGAAAATATCACATGGTGCTGCTCTTATCATTTGGAGTCCTTACTAGACTATCTTGAGAGTGAAGAGAACAGTTTATTAAGTGACAAGCTAATATTACGTAGGCTTCGTACGGATATCCGTAAAAAGGAAAATGCCGCGAAAAAGCAAACGACAATATTACATTTTTTTAAGTGTTAAGTGTGAATATGTGTGAAAAGTGTTGGATGTTGTTGAACACTGTGATTGAAATAACTAATTCATACTTTAGTTTAATGTAAAAAAGTATTAAATAGGCCATGTAATGACATAAAAATGAGGTTGAATAAATTTAAATACAGGTAGGCCTATAGTATTATGAAGGTACAGTATTACAGTACTACTTTTAATAAAATGTGTCTTAACCGGGTTTTTGATTAATCGTGATTTCCATCCCCAACATTATCCTGGATAATCGAGAGTTGAGTGTATCACAGTTTTAAAAAATGAGAAAAAGCAATATGGGCTTGTTTTACGAAATTATTTGCAAAGTAACTCATTTTACTCTATTGATGAATTTGTCAAGCATGCAAGGGGCTCAAAAGTTAAGAGTTAATAAATGGTCTCTGTGCATGAATTATACACTGTTGAGACTTGCTTGGTGTAAGTGTAGTAGTATGTATGATGTCTGTTTTTGTTATGAATTTTAATATTTTATAATGTAACTGTTTGGATGATATGGCTTGCCAGTGCGTGTGGAATGGCAAGGTGTGAATTTGACAGTGGTTTTTCCACAACCTATGTGTATTGTCCTGACAACTTGAGCTATCTGTGTGATGCCTGATTATATACTTGTACTTTATTGGACCAAGGACGAATGATGTGTAATCACCATGAATTTGTAATATGCGACATGTTTTATATCCAGCCCTACAGGGAGATGATTGGATCCATGAAGTGAAAAATAAATGTAATGCATAATAGGATAGTGAAGAGGCTACAGGTACAGTATCAGAACAAATTAAGTACACAGCTAGTAAACGATGTTTTCAAACAGGCTTCTCTAAATATGTCAACCTGTGAAAGCAAACTTTCTCTAAAGTAGAAAAAAAAAAAACAAAGGCAAAGTTGCACCTGTACTTTCCTTGTCATGTATGTGCTACAGTAAAAGCTGCTGAAAAATATATCAATCTTATTTTATCATATAAACCACTTCACAGACATATCACTTACTTTGCCAACAAATCCTTTGGAGTTTCGTCCATAAGATCTGTAAGTACTTGACGAAGGATTGGAAGTGGCCATTCCTTGCGATTGTCAAGGTTAGAAATGCCTCTTTCCTTCAAAAGAGGAGTCAGTCTGCTGTAAAAAAGCTCTGAAGGACGCATCACCTGGCCTGGACCTGAAACAAAAGCATTACATATTTAACTCTTTCCCTGTCAGCAAACTTTTCAATTCATGTATTAACAGATTTTAGTCAACTTATCATGACTATCAATGCACCTAAAAATGAAACTAAAAACTTGTTCTTCTCAAGTTATGTATTGTAACCTGACCACTTGTGAAAGCATTGATAAGTAACCTCAGAAATGATCAATATTATTTTCCTTTTTAGTGTACGAGTACAGACACATAGAAAGAGAAAGGTTTAAGGACTACAAGTGGTACATCACAACAGCTGCTCCAATCATGTGGCCAAAGGCTCATCACAACTGCCATTCTTCTCATTTGTTTCTATTCAAAGTCATAATCGCAGTTCTCGGTGGCTCACCATTTCCTCCTTGGACACTGGTTGAAGACTGACCTCCACGGAGGGACACAGTTGCTGTTTCTCGCTGCTGCCATCTCTTGTAAAGCCCAAACAAAGGCGTAACACCATCTACCCAACTAATGAGTCCACTGCGGGGACCGAGGGGTATCACCGAATAATGACGAGCTCTGTACATCGATTCTGAGGTTGAACTGCTTCGTTGCATCATCGTGTTGGCAATACTAAGGAACTGCATGATACGTTCATCGAGATGGAGATCCTCCAACCCTTTGAACAGGTACGTGTACCTGTAACAAAGGAGTGTAAATATTACCACTGATATATAGGAGAGAGAATCAAAGAAATAGCAATGTAACTGGCAATTAAAGAATATAAGCAAATATGACAACAATAATTAAATCAAAACCTGCAATCGGTATCAATTAATTAATGGGTCTGAGTTACTGCCAGCATTGTTAAATAAAACCAGTTCCACAGTGGAGGGTGTATGGTGCTACACACCACATATGCACTGCTATTCTTGAATGAGCAAGCATACCCTCCACCTTTTGAACAGAGAGCATATACCTTAACCTTATGAAAAATTATACAGGTTGACATGTCATTTTCTCAATTCATAACATATGAGTTGTAAAACAAACTGTTGTACATTGTTGCACACTGTTGTTAACAATGAATGTTTTGAAATCAATGTGCTAGAAAGAGATGCAGCCAATATGAATAGTGTCTGTTGTTCAAAGAATTTCAAAGCAAGCTCATACATTTTCTCATGCCATCACAACACTTTGGAAGTGAAATCTGCCTGTACGGTACCTGGGTTAAGACTCCCCTCCCCCAAAGTTTTACCTTTGTATACAGTATGCATCCTGATTTCTTTATGACTAAAGCACTGACTAGGTCATCAATAAAAAGAACTTTACTTACAGTTGTCCATCAGAACCATGGAACACAAGCTTCTTTGGTTTAGTTTTGGTTGGCAATATAGCAATGTTGTTGTCCACGGCAGACACTGTGATGATAGTACCAGATCTTGAAGTGACACCAGGCATGGCAATCAAAGAGTCCTTCAGACCAGCCAGTGCTGGGCTTATATCCATCATGTGGATTGTGTAGGCAGAGCGCTTCTGTGCCCGCTGCTGCAAGCGCGACTGCAACTGTTTCAGCGGCTGCCATGATTCCTGAGGACGGCGTGGATTCCATGAGGTCTTCAGCTTATGCAGTGCATCAGTAATATACTCCCCTGCACACACAAGAATTTCCACACTTTCTTCACTCTCAATATCAACTATAAATGTAATGGTATGGATTCTAGACATGATATATTGTGACATGCAGATCCATTGCTAGGCAACACCTGTAACACATGTGACAGTGTTTTCTGTGGTGTGCGCACAGACCTTTGCAATGGAGCACACACACCTTACTCATATGTGGTGATGTCGCACAACAATAGAAGTGATGCAGGCTTTTTCTATAGGTCTGCACTGAGACTCTGTTTTCTGCTGCGGTCCATGCCAAGTGGATATAAAAGACATGGAAGGTTGTTTGAGTCAGTCTAGCTCAAGGCACCAGCCTGCCAGGATATGGGATTGGGAGCAAACCAATCAAATTGAGGAATCATGGCATCAGGATTATTGAATGTAGGTCAGTTCATACTTGAAAATCAAACTGTGAAAGGAAGACTTTTTTTTTTATTGCTAGTGAGGTGGGACTAAGTCCCTTGTACTGCGGCCACTTCTGGCTTATTGTACCAGTCCCAGATCATAGGTGAGGGTGACTGTGGACCAATTGGTGGAATGAAGATTGGCAGGGGGAAACTGAAGTATTTGGAGAAAACCTGCCCCAGCGCTATTTATTCCACCACAAATCCCACTTGACCAGCAACTAACCGCTTGAGCTATGGTGCGGCCAAAGGAACACTTAGTGTGCGATTTGAAGACTTTATGTGTGCTGTAGTACATGGATATCTGGAGCATGACTGTTAAAGAGTTCCTGTGTTAAAATCCGTTGCAGGAAACAGACAGTAAAACACTGTAAGGGAACATCCTTGGTTGAGAGCTGTTATGACTAGCAACAGCAGACTGAAATGATCTAATGTGGAGTGATTTTTAGTGTGAAAATCAGCAACAATGTCATATTTAGTTATAACTAGTTATGACTTGTATGTGGTCAATAAATCCAATTACAAATCCAAACATTATTAAAGTCACTAATACATGTGACAATATATTTACAAGACCTCGATTTAGTAGAGATTATAACCTTTAAGAGAAGGCCATATAAATTCCTGTAATGGCAGCAGGCTGGAGTTAATTTAAATGTCTGCCATTGTAGAGTATTAAAAATTGTAAGCATGTTACTGAAAATGCTGTGATTTCTACAATTTTTGTGATAAGCGAATGAAATAAATGCTGCTTTTATCTAGAAAGAATATAGAATCAGATATTGTAATTTACAGATTTTAAAATCTTAAAAATTGTTACACTGATTCAAAAAAAAAATATTTTCCAAATTTCGAGCGTCTGTCCACAAATATGCATACAGTTTCTACACGAAACGTTTCTGCAGTATAAATGCATGCTGCTGACATTCTGTCTCACTATGTCATATCTGGCAAAAGGGGAGGACGTTTATATTTGTACTGCACATTCTCCAGTCACATCGGAACCTTTCTGTATGCACGAGTGTGGGCGAAGTCTTATCTTACTTTGTCCTTCAGAAACTCTGACTGTGTATATCTCAGACTAGCCACACAGAGGTACTGTTCTCGGAATAGCCCCCTTGCTTCCTCGCCACTTTCAGAGTCGTCTGTACCGCATTCTGAATTGGTGTCATTTATCAGCGGCCTCTCAATTTCGGCTTCTTCTACGCGAAATGAGACCATGGTGGATAGTTGAAATTGTGATGTTTTATAAGTGTTACGATTAGAGGAGGCCACTCGACATCACTGGCCGACTTCCTCTAATATGAGACTGAGGTGTCATGTGTGGTCTTCACATGGGAAACGGAGTTACATCCGGACAAAGTGCATGAATTGCGATGTCGGACTCTGCATTCAGTTAGATGATGCAGGAGGGAAGACTGTCTACTTATAAAGCGGGTGCCCAAATATAATGTAAGCAGAACAAGAATTTCTATCTTAAAATTAGATTTTAAAACACTGTGCGCATGCGTGGACTGTGCGTACCCATATGGTGTCGCATGGCCACTCGGCTACACTTTAAAGGTCTCCATACGGTGTCGCTATGCTCTTAAAGGATAAATATGTGACACTACATTCCCACTTTCCCCTGTGCCTTCAGTATATGATACCTGCAGCACAGGGACAAATTTAAAGTATACAGCAAAATCCCTATATAATTAATCTGTGATGGAATGACTTTTCTTACACTAAACAAAGGTTTGCCATAAATGAAGAGCTATGAAAAATTACATCATGAAATTTTCTTCTTCTTACAAGTCTTATATATATATATTGTAACGTTTTTCGTTACTGAATAGGCCATAGAGATGGTTAATTGGTTTATTTAACAATCTACAAATCACGGCTACAATTAATTATCACACAGTTGCGGGTTTCCACAGTTTACAAACCCTACAACAAAATCTCTTAACACTGTCTTCAAGAGTCTTCAAGTATTAATAACGCGGGAGCTATACAAGTCTCCCTGAAATACACACTCCGAGTATAACTGTACTACAGCACTCACTATGTCTTGAAAGCACACGAAAAGTCTTCCACTCGCTGACTTCTTAAGTATCGCACACTCGCAGGCTGCTATGTTTCAACTCGGCGACTGTTACTTTATAACTTGCCTCGGCTGTCACAGTACAACTCGGAAATGCCTTCAGTACAACTGAAGTCGCAGACTCCTACAGTAGAACTGACTGGTACCAGCTGTGCAGCTCACTTATATAGCTGCAGTGCTTGCCGGTTGCGTAATGAGTGCCACGTCACAGTAGGAAGTTGATTACGGGTACGTAGCGTTACACGTTACGTCACCGCGGAGGGGACTGGCGGGGCGGGAACTCGCCTATTACCGTAGTAACGCGAGCGTTACGTTACCGCCATGTACCGCTGGGGAGGTAGAGGTGATCCATAGCTCAACAT